CATGATTTGGTTAGTTCTATTTCATATTAATCAAGGTACTTATACTTTACGCACACACACGAACACACACACGCACACACCCAAGCACACACTAACACATTAATGTATAAGTGACCTGCGACCTAAAAGAAGTCCACGCAATCTTTGTCTTCATATCTACGATAAAGGTACCCTGATTAATATGAAAGAGAATTGATTTAGTCATTCTATATGCATTTATATATTTTTCATTTTCGTTCTGGTGACGTCCGCCATATGAAGGACGAGAGCCTAGCCTATTTTCACTCCAAACTAGGGCAAATGTCTCGTGGACTGCGCTAACTTGAACATCGAATTAAAGCCAAAAGGATGCAGAACAACGTGAATCAACCGTCGTCTTCAACAAAGCTCAACCACGATTTTCTTCATCATTAAATTTCATGCGAAATCAAAGTTTCCACAACAAACAAATCGAGCCTTTAGCAAAGTCCTAATCGTAGATCTTTTCGGTCTGGATATCCACAAAAGTAGGCCTATATTGGCAAATGCCATAGGTATCTCACTATGAAGGTCCAACTGGTTAATACGCTCCGTCTTAGTTACTTGGTCGACTTACTTGTTTCGCTTCAAGTAGCAACATTTGATCAGTCCTTGAATAAATAAACTAGGAAAGGCTAATCTCTAATATTTATGCATTTATATGGTATTCAACAATATGAAATCGATACAAATAATCCCATGTTATGTAGTAACTGCAACAATGATGCTTATTGTTATCATCCCGATCAGGTTGCCATATTGTCACTCAATGCTATTCGTAACAAAAGTTGCATCCAGTGTTGCAAAAATCGCAGTCAAATGTCTATCATCCTTGCTTGCTTTTTAGGTAAACAACAATTTGCAGTCTTGTAAATGTATCTATCCCATAATCAGCCTGTTGACTGATTGTATGCTCTCTGCAGGCCTTCTAGAGCAAGGTCGCCCAAAGAGCTTTATGCATAGTTGAAAGTAATTGGGTTCGGTTGATAAGATCATCATGCGTGAAACCCAATCTCATCGGGTCAGGCATCACCTTAAGTGAAATAGGATGAACACATATCGTACATCTGATCGACGGGTAAGCTCGAAACCCTACTTACAAACGAAAAATACGGTTAACGAGTTTGTCTAAAGCATCGTAATTCCGGACTTCGAGTCCTGCAAAAGGAGCTGCTGTGACTCGGGTGATGCTGTAAACCCTGAATGAGAAGGCGCTTTTGTGATAAATGACACGAGGAAAATCAAGCCGATTACCAATTCGTCTCTTTAATATACAATACACTAGAATAAGGAAAAGTTATCCCAAATTAGACAGCTGACAAATGTGGAGGATGACAGTCCCAAGCTGTTCCTCTATTCAGCTTCAGTTCAAAATGCATATTGTTTGAAAAAACTTTTGGACACATTCTGGTCAAATGAAATGGACTGAAAATTATCAACTTCAGCAATGTGTCCTTGATGTGTTCAGATGAGATTCACGTTGTCCGAGGTTCTCAACTATGTTTCAGACTATCCTAGACTACTTTTGAAGAGAGTCTGTGAACTTGATGATACTTGCCTGCAGGCAATAACGGAATCGATGAATGTATATGGACGAGCAAGTGAATGTGCCCTGTACTTAAATCCATTAACGCTCCTCTTCACGAGCTTTTTTCCCAGCTCCAGTCTCTTAACGTATAATCGGGCTCCGGTTGTAGTTTGTCTTGGTGTTAGTAACTCATGCTCCACTTGTGATCTGCTAGACGGTGGGCAATGGTCGGACTACCAATAAACATTCTGAAGTGGATACAGCCGAAAATATCTTTCAAATAGACACCCAGACAGTGTGCCAGTCATGAAGTCTGACATGCGCGCAAGCCGTAATACATGAAGGAACACATTTACAGACTAACTGGAAGATGAGGCGATAGGTATGTACACACACATACGAACATACGTCTAAGTAAGCAGAGAGAGTGATGAATGAAAAAGCACAAGACGTTTAAAGATACAACCCCGGTTGTAGTGTCTAGTCGGTAACACAATTTGTTCAAGGTGAAGTAGGGTCAGGTGGACCAGAAAATGAGTTGTGTAGATTGCGTCCATCGACTGGCCATAGAAGGGCCTAGCAACGGAATGTCATTTGTGTGGGCATCATTACATTGGCAGGTTTAAGCAGTCCCAGGACAGCTCGGCCAGACTGGCCGCTTTTATGACGGTAAATGAGAGTGGATGAGGGGCAATCGGAGGCATGGACCCCATGAATTTATGCTTGTATATTTATCTTAGAGTTCAGTGTAGTGTAACTCCTCTTAACCCCCCCCCCCTCCTTTGAGGGGACTGGAGACGAAATCTCGTCATGCATCTGACCAAGGGAAAGCATAAACTCCGTGTAGCCGTTATACTTCCACTGGTTGGAATAGCGTGTGGTCATGTGGCAACGCGAATAAATTATCAACTGATACACTCTTGATGATGGTAGGGGGCATTTTTTGGCCTGCGTGGTCAGGCGGTTTGTGTACGATCCATGACTGCAATAGCTACCTGACAGGGACTGAATGCTTTGAACACACAAAGAGAAATATGTGGAAAAAGCATCTGTGTGTATTCAAGCGTGACATTGGTTGACAAATTGTTATCTAACTTAGGCGACATTGTCTGGTCGCGTTTTCACAACTGGGTTCCACTGACAGGACGACCTCGACTGCAGCTAGGAGAGTATCAAGTCTGGAAATTAACATGACTACAATACCAGAAGACGCAGGGCTAGGTAAGTCCTACGAGAACACCCTGGCAACACGACCAAGTAGCGAAAATGAGGTCATGCCAAGTCTACAGAGCGAAAAAGACTGTGACCAAGACAGTCGTAAATAAAGATCCGATGACATTGTGATGCTCCAATTCGCATCCAGAATGTCCAGACTATTTTCCCCCACCATTTATTGAAAATGGCACGAAAACGTTTTAAATAAGAGTTCTAGTCATCCTAAGGCACGTAAGACCATGAAGGACTGATAGTCGAATTTTCCCATAATCATAGAAATAGACCCAATAAGTGTTGAGCTTACTTCCATTTCGAGTGAAAGTGTTGGGTGAAGAAATTCGAAGGTCGGTTCCACCAGACACGACGGCGGATTCCTCTTGACCAGATGTCGATTGGCTTTACTGGAGCATTCATGCTGATGCTGTTTCCGAGGCAATCTCCTTCGATTCCGGTGAAAAGGTGCTAAGCTTTCGTCCGTCAAATGACGGACCTCAGCAGAGCGAGGTAACATGGTCGCAACAAAATTCAAGCTAACGAGTCAAGAAAACTCTCTGGCAAATCCATAAAAAGTGGTATAATACTCTACATCTGGCCTCTTTGATATTCACATACAGACTGGACTGCAGTTTCAACCTCACTCATCACCACACACAACAGGAATAGAGCCCGGGTAGTACAGTGTATAATTTAGACCCAGTACCACTACAGAAAACTGCCTCTAGCACCAATGAGTCATAGAACAAGAGCGAATTTCAAAACAAGCCATGCGTCTTCGATGCCAAGGCTTATAGTGGGTATGTCAATGAGGCAAACATGTATTTTATGACTGTAATCAACTACGATACTTACATTTGCAGTAAGTAGATGATGAATAAGAGTTTTTGCCAGGATAAGTGGCATAAAGTGATGAAGGACTGATAGCTGAATATTCACACAATCTTGAAGTCAAGGCCCACTTATATAATTATGGGGAAATGTCAATCTATCAATCAGTCCTTCAGCACCTTATACGGTCTAGGGTGAGAAGAAGTCTTCTTCAAGATATTCTCATGGTCTCGACACCTGCCAACTTTGAATACAACATTTTGACAAAGCCTACATCGAGTATACGCAAAAGTGGGTCTAGACAACCGTCAGCGAAAGTTGACCCATAAAAGAAGCAAGCCTCCCTAAAGAGGGCCTAAGGCTCGGCGAGATTTGCGAGGATGGTACAGCTCACATTTTGTAACTTAGCCAGGTTATTACTGAAGCTTATGTCATGGAAGCCTGTTTAAGGCGGGATGAAATAACCACGGTTACTCAAGGCCTGGAGAGGTGGTGCCTTAAGAGGTGTATCGAGGTCGGGTGGAAAGGGAAATGAGACAGACCCGGTTGGCAACCCTCCGTCTCAGTGAGGAGATGAAAACTGTGGCTACTGGCACCACAAGCACCAAATACTGCGACAGTGGTATTATAGTGGCCGCTACCATCGTCACGGCAACAAATCGGCCTGTCATTCCAGTCGGGTCAGTAAGCGACACCTACAGACCATTTTTATGCCCCTGGTAGAGACATCGCGGGCACTCAATTTATCAGACCTTTGTCCATAAATCTGTAGCCGTGGTCCCAAATATACCAAGATGAAGTTATATACAGGAGACCAGATTTATGCAGATATATGTAAATATGTATGTATATTTGTTTGTGTGTACGCATGTTGCTTGTGCGTATATTTATTAGTTTGCATGTTTGCATGTATATATGTGTTTGTGTGTATGTATGTATGTTGTATGTGTGTACATTTGATTGCTTGTATGTTTGTATGTATGTGTAAATACATGTATATCTGTATGTATGCATGTATGTGTATACATGTATGTAAGAATGCAGGAATTCTCTGAGGCAAATGTGAAAAAAAACCCAAATTAAGTGCAGAAATAAAAAAGAGGGAGGTAGACTTTGATGGAGGTAGAAAAAGAGATGCTAAAAAGAAAACTCTTCGAGTGTCTACTCTAGTCGAACTATGTCACATTCATGATTGCTGAGGGATGAGGTGCGAGGGTAGGCGTCTATCAGGTCCATCTGACAGCCTCAATGTTGATACGTCAAGCCGTAGAGGGCCAAAGACAACAGTGTGATTCACAAACGACCGAGGCGCCCCGAGATCTGTCTGTCAGCCTAACAGACCGTCGACAGTTAATGCATAAGTCGCCCAATCAGTCAGTCAGCCAGTCAGCTGGTCAGCCGAACCATTGGGCTGGCGGGCTGTCCTAGAGACAGGCAGACAAATATGGGTCCGAAATGTAGGCCTGCCAATTCGTGCATATTTGTTTGTCTTTAGAGGCAGATGGTCAGATTCTCCGTCTGATAGGCATAGACAACTACTTGAGGGCTCGGCCTGCCAAAATGCTCCTAGCTGAAGTATGCCCGGCCACAGGTACACAATCATCGGTCTGTCTTTAGATTTTCCTACTCCAGGGGCTAGTTGGCACAGCATACGGTCGAATGTAAGCTGTTTAGTGGAGAACCTCAAAATTGGTGCGTTCACGGGGTCAGAAATGGAGAAAGAGGGTATGTACAAGAGGTCAGCGCACTTTTGGGCTCTGGACTTGACCCCGTTCGGGACGGTAGTAGACTAAGCGAGGAAGGTAGCAGCGATGCGATTTGATGGTACCGGAATTAATCACTGCATGCCTTTCGTTTCTGAGACTGTTTTGCATGATGACAGAGCGCTACGCAAATACAGATGTAGATACCATTGTATACGTGATGGATGGAGGAAAAAAGACCAAGAAGAGAGAGAAATGGAAGTGAGTATAGGGACGAGTAAAGAGGTTGAAAAGGACGTAAACACACGAATGATACGTTGGAAAGCCTTCAGCATGATGGGCTGAAGATGCTTTTTTTGGTGGATGGAATTATTGAGGTTGGAGGAGCAATGGGTACACATAATACAGGAACTAGGGGGATAGGGACAGACATAGAGACAATCAAGTTGGTAGATTGATGACAAGATGTATAAAGGAGGGAGAGTGGCAACAAATGTTATAATTTGACGGTAATTAAGGCAATAAGATACTAAATAGTCTAAGGAGTCAGACACCGCTACTATGCG